CCCGGTCTGGCATGTCGTCCTGGACGACCACCCTTGAAGGCGACGAAGACACCCCGAAGTTCTTTGTGGGCTCTCAAGAGGATGAGGCGGATTTCCTGGGATCAGACATGAAGATGGAGGAGATCGACTTCTTTGAGGATGATGAAGAGGAGGAAGAGCTGGTAGGGAAGGCAGGAAGTCTCCTCCTGGGGCTGGGACTTGGGGGGGGCGTGACACAGACGTGGGCAAGCTGGTGGCAGCCCCCCCACCCCCGTGAAGAGGGCAGGAGAGCCTCCTGAGGGGGCCCCGGGGCTGGCGGGGGCTCTGGGAGGAAAGGCCTCCTTCTGCCTCCAAAGGGGGGGGGGTAATGGCTGTTTCTGTGCAGCTGGTGGGGAGGCCCACTCCGACTGGAGCTGTTTGCCCCGGCTGCCCCTTCCTGCCACCCAGGTTTTGTGGCCAGCGTGCCACAGGGGACTTGGGGGGGCTTCCATGTGAGTGGTCCCTCTCCCCCATGGCAGAGGCTTCCTGGCTGTGTGCTGCTAACCCCCCCCCCTGGTTATTTTCCTCAGTCGCCAGAGCGGCAGATCGTGGTAGGCATTTGTGCCATGACCAAAAAATCGAAATCGAAGCCCATGACGCAAATCCTGGAGCGCCTCTGTAGGTTTGAATACATCACTGTGGTGATCATGGGGGAGGATGTCATCCTGAATGAGCCGGTGGAGAACTGGCCCCCCTGCGACTGCCTCATCTCTTTCCACTCCAAAGGTACAGAGGGCCCCCCCTGCAGGCTCCTAACATGGGGAGACGGTGGTGGCTGTGGCAGGAGGCCTGCGCTGAGCGCCTCTCCCCCCCTGGCTATCTTGCAGGCTTTCCCCTGGACAAGGCTGTGGCCTACGCCAAGCTGCGCAGCCCTTTCTTGATCAATGACCTGGACATGCAGTATTACATCCAGGACAGGTAGGAGAAGAGCAGGCACTGGAGGGGTGGGGGGTGGGAGGTTGGTGGGCCTTTTGCTGAGTGGTACGGTCTATGTAGAAGGGAAGGAGAGCAGGCCCTTCGCCAGGCTGGGGTGTAGGCTGGAAATAGCCAGGTGCACGATTCAGGAACCCAAGAGTTAGCATGTTTTAAAAAACACCACCAAGTAAGTTTGATAGGCCTTGAGTGATGATAAAGCAGAGGACTGCAAAGCTAGCGGGCTCCCAAGGGAGCTAGCCTTTGGTTAATGCCTGGTAACTTGTTGGAAGCCAGCAGGTAGCTGAAGATGACATATCTGGGGCGGGGGTGGGGGGGGAGAGGCATAGTTCAGAGACTGAGTAGCTCATGCTGACAACGGCAGGGGTATGGTGTGCGTTGCTCCACGAGCCTGTTCTGGTGCCAGTATGACTACGAATATTTTAAAAGATAAATCAAAAATAGAAACATGGATAAACAAAAGTACTATACTATATAAATTAATTAGAAATACAGATTTAAAAGATGTGTGGAGAGAATTAAGAGAGAAAGAAAGAAGATACTCCTATTGCTCATCAGTGCAGAAAACTTACAGTACACAGGAATAGATTATATAACAATAGTGAAAGATATGTTGTCAAAAGTAAATAATGCCAGTATAGATGTTAATCAAATCTCAGATCATGTCAGGGAAAATATGAAGCTAAGCAAGTAGTGATTATGAAGAAGCAAACAGATGAAAGATTGATACAGACATTTACAGACACAAAATATTGCAGAAGAGTTTCAAAAAAAAATTAGAAGACACCTGGGAATTAAATACAAAAGGAGGGGGAAAGGCTAAAATAATCTGGGATGCCTTGAAGTCTGTGGCCAGAGGATATGCTAAAAAAGCGGTATACACAATTAGGTCACAAGAAAAGAAAAGAATTCAAGATTTAGAGGAAAATATTAAGCAGAAAAAGAAGTGATAAAAACTAGAAAAAAGGAAATTTTTTTGTGAAGGATTTTTCCCCCCAGGGGATTAACTCAAGACTTTGGGAAGTATACAGTAGGATAAATAATTCTGCACAATACTACATATTTTGGGATGAGCGAGATGCTTTTCGAGAGAAAGTTCTGTTTATGTTGAGTATAGAAGCTGCGCAGTGGGGAGATGCGCATGTGTGACAGTGCACAGAATTAGGAAGTGCCAGCTCCTGCCCTGTTCTACGTAGCAGCAAAGGCTGAGGAGTCTTTTTGTGCTTCACAAGTCCTGCTGCTTTTTGTGGAAAAACACTTTGTGGATGGGAAGTGAAGGCGGGGGTTCACTGCTCACGGACTGTCTTCTTTCGGGGAATTTGGTTCTCGTTTGCTGTACAGAGAGTGTATGTAACTTGATTTGGAGATAACTGAAGTTTTAATAGCCTTAATATTCTTAGTAAGCTAGGCTTTTATGGTTTTCCATGTGAACCAAAAATGGGTAAAGCATTGTCTGTTATTTAAGTAACATAGTAAAGTAAAGTAAGATGAAAAAGTAACTATTCCAACTTTAGACTTCTATTTTCCTTGGGAAGCTTCCCAGGAAAAACATTGCTTTTTCCTGTGGCTTCAAAATTTCCAGAACGTTTATCTCGTTAGCCTGGTGTGTCAAAGGGGAAGGTATGTGTCCTCCTGGTGGCCTTTTTGTACCATCCTGCAGCTGAGGGTAGGGGGACACCACTCTTGTGCTGTGTGGCAAGCCTGACCCCATGGCTGTGTGAGTTCCAGGAGGAAGAGGGCGCCAGGCAGCGACACACGCAAGGCGGGGCCCTTGTGCTCAAGCCCTGACTTTGCTCCCTCCCTGTTCCAGGCGCGAAGTGTACCGCATTCTGCAGGAGGAGGGGATAGACCTGCCTCGTTATGCTGTGCTTAACCGAGACCCTGACAAGCCGGACGGTGAGTCACCTGGGAGCAGGGAGGGAGCTGCTTCCTGAATCCCTGGGTAAGGCGCATCCCGAGGCCTTCCTGACATCTCTGATCACAGCAAAACAAAACAAAACAAACAATTTCAGGGCTCAGCTTTGTGATGGGACCACCCAGCGCCTGTTGCCCCTGCTTTGGGACTGCTGGATCATGGCCCACAGGGATTTGGGGAGGGGGCGCAATTCCCTGGTTAGTGGGGCTACGAGTGTCTGTGCCACACACGGGACTCTTCCCCCCAGGCCCGCTCCTTTTGGCCAGCCAGCCAGCCAGCCAGCCAACCAAATCCTATTTGGGCTTTAGCCTGCTTATTCCTCAAGGGCCCTCTAGCAGGATTGCCCCTCATCCAGCCCTTTAGGTCAGCTTGTGAGTTTCCTGCCTGAGTGGGGTCTTGAGCCCAGGTTTGACATACTTGGGGAGAACAGAGGGGGTGGTTGGATCTGTGGGGAAGGGAAGGAGAGGGTTGAGGGGGGTTCCTGGGGGGGGCACATCCCTGAGACCGCTGTGCCTTTGCCACAGAGTGCAACCTTGTGGAGGGAGAGGACCACGTGGAGGTGAACGGGGCAGTCTTTCCCAAGCCCTTTGTGGAGAAGCCCGTCAGCGCCGAAGACCACAACGTCTACATCTACTACCCCACCTCAGCAGGAGGGGGCAGCCAGCGCCTTTTCCGCAAGGTCAGGAGGGAGTCAGTGTTGGCTTCCCCCTGGTGATGGGCAGGCGCGGCGCTGGTCTGCAAAGGGCCCAGGGGCCTCAGAGGGGACTCCGGAGCAGCCCTCATTCTAGGAGGGAGGCGGAGGGAGCGGGTGGCAGGAGCTGGAGACTCCCTCTGGGTCCCCCGCTCGGCCCTGGCTGACCCTTAGTAAGGCCACTGCTGAGCCTGGCCTCGTGGAGGCAGATCCCCTCGGGGGCTTGGCCAGGTGCTGCTTTCTCCCACACAACTGCCCAAGCAGCTCACAGAGTAACCCATGGAAATGGGTCTTGCGCGTTGGCCGGCGTCTTCCTGGCAGGTCCCTTCCAGGCGGTTCCCAGGGTGGGGCTCCAGAGGCAGGAGACAAAGAGCAGCCCTAACGAGCAAACAGACAATCAGACTTGCCCAATTGGGCTGCCTGGGCGGAGTGAACGTGGCGGCCCTTTTTGGTCCAGGAGGGCAGCCTTCCAGAGGGCGGATGCTGCGGCCACTGGCCCCCTCCCTCACAGAGACCCTTCCTGGCCTCTTTCAGATTGGCAGCCGGAGCAGCGTTTACTCCCCAGAGAGCAGCGTCCGGAAAACCGGGTCCTACATCTATGAGGAATTCATGCCAACAGATGGCACCGATGTCAAGGTGGGTGGGGGGGTGAGCGTTGGGGGGGGGGAAGAAGGCCAGAGGGCTCCTCTCTGCCCAGAGAGGCCATGAGTTGGAGCTCCCTCGAGCGAGGGCCCTGCAGAGAGAACCGAGCCCTTGGTTTCTCTGGCACAGGTGTACACCGTGGGCCCTGACTATGCACACGCCGAGGCCCGGAAGTCCCCGGCTCTGGATGGGAAGGTGGAGCGAGACAGCGAAGGGAAGGAGATCCGCTACCCGGTGATGCTGACGGCCATCGAGAAGCTAGTGGCCCGGAAGGTCTGCGTGGCCTTCAAGGTGGGCAGCGCTGGGCAGCGCCTTCTTCCCCCGGGGTGCCCCCCTCTCTCCTACACCTTGTGGCCTGGGCCTCCTGGAGCAGAGTTTTGCCCAAAGGCCTTCGGGGGCCTGATGGAACAGGGGGACCTTCTCTCCCCTAACGTGGAATCCTCAGCCACAGCATGGGCTTCCCCTCTCCCCCAGGGTAAGTCCCCAGTTGTTGTGGCCATTTGGGTCCACTCTTGTTGACTGGGCTGATGCTGAGGGAGCCGCCATGGGGCCTGGGGAGGAGGCTGTGGGTGGGGGCTTTCCTGGGAGTAGGATGTCCCCTTGACCCCCTTGTGGCCTTCTGTGCCCCCTGCAGCAGACCGTGTGCGGCTTTGACCTCCTGCGGGCCAACGGGCACTCCTTTGTTTGTGACGTCAACGGCTTCAGTTTTGTGAAGAATTCTATGAAATATTACGACGACTGTGCGAAGATCTTGGGGTGGGTGGCATCGGCGTTGGTCATGGCCGGCCAGCTTGCGGTCCACGGCAGCAGCCACAACCACAGCGGCAGGGTCCACGCCGTGGCTGATCCTTGCAGGAAGTGGGGGCAGGGGCCAAGGCATCTGATGTGGCTGCCCCCTCTGTCCGCAGGAATATCATCATGCGTGAACTGGCCCCCCAGTTACAGATCCCGTGGTCCATCCCCACAGAGGCCGAAGACATCCCCATCGTCCCCACCACCTCCGGGACCATGTGAGTGACCCCCGCAAGAGGGGCAGGGTGCTGGGGGGCGTCCGCTGCCTTGGGGCAGGAGGAGAGAAGGGCTGGGGGGGCAGAGCCCAGCCTTGTCTGGGGTGGGGTTGGGTGTGTGTGGAGAAGGCAGTGCACGGGGGTCTGTGTTTGTGTGTTCCTGTATGGAAGCTCTTTTCTGTCTCTGGAGGAGGCCCCAAAGCCACCCTCAGCTGAGTGAGACCAGCTCCTACATACGCCACGACCGTCCACCCAGGCCTGTTGGCAGTGGCTCTGGTAGCCGGCTGGTAGTCTCTCCTGCTCTCGCTGGAGACCCCACTGCTGCCGACCCCGCCTGCTCTGCTTAGCTTACAAAACCAGAGAATAGCGGGTGGTTTATTTGGGGGAGTGAGGTGGCCTTTGGAGAGGGTGGGGTCAGGCCGCCGAGGGCTTTGTGAGCACGCGGCCAGGGTCCCGGTGCTTCCTTCTGAGCCAGAGTTATTTCTCACAGGATGGAGTTGCGTTGCGTGATTGCCGTCATACGCCACGGGGATCGCACCCCCAAGCAAAAGATGAAGATGGAAGTGAAGCATCCAAGGTACCTCTGGGTGGCTGGGGGCCGGAGGCGGGGTATGGCGGGGTGGTCTTCGTTGTCGGCTTGCCTTCCTGCTCCTTCCTCACAGCCTCTTCCACTCCTCGGACAAAGGCCGCTCCCGCGTGGTTCCAGGAGCAGGACCCTTCCCTCCTGGGGCCTCAGGGCTGCAGTCTCTGCCGAGTTCTGCCGTGGGATGGCTCCTCACCACTCACTCTGCTTTGGCTGCTGCCTTCAGGTTTTTTGAGTTGTTTGAAAAATATGACGGCTACAAGACCGGGAAGCTGAAGCTGAAGAAGCCGGAGCAGCTCCAGGTGAGGAGGGCTCTGCTGAAGGAGGGCCGGGCTGGCCAAGGCCTGTTCCTGCCTCCTTGGCCTGGGCTGGACAGGGCTGGGCCCAGGAGCGTGGGCTGCCTGACGGGCATGCCTGAGGGGGTGAGGTGGGGCTCAGCGCTGCTCTAGAGTGAGTGAGGAATGAGGGCGTTTTGAGGGAGGTGTGTGTGTGTGTATGAGGGGGAGGCGTGGGGCTCCCTCCTGCTGTCACAAGGCATAAACAGGGAGGGGGGCTTACCCAGCAGCCAGGCAACCCTTCCATGTCTGAAGGACGTTCACCCAGTGCCTGGCAAATGCTCACCAATGCACCCAGCCCAGAGCAGCACCCCCTTGTCCCCGACAGGAGGTGCTTGACATCGCCCGTCTGCTATTGCTGGAGCAAGGAGCCTCTCCCAGCGACTCTGAGACGGAGGAGCAGAAGTCCAAGCTGGACCAGCTGAAGACTGTTCTAGAGATGTGAGGAAGGGTTGGCGGGAGGCCCGAGGGCTGAACACTCCTTTCCTTGTGAAAGCCGTGCCACAGACTGACCAGCATCCTGATGTGTTGTGGCACCAGCCCGGGGGGGGGGGAATTCTATTGGCCCTGAGGCACTGGTTCTCACTCAGCCCCCCCCCCCAGCCCTTGCCAAGCCCTCCCACTCCGTCCCTACTCTTTCCCTCTCTTTGGGGAGCATCCATGCAGAGATGGCCCCTCTCCGTCTCTTCCCCCTTCCCTGGCAGGTATGGACATTTCTCGGGTATCAACCGCAAAGTGCAGCTGACCTATTTGCCACACGGGCGCCCCAAAGCCTCCAGCGAAGAGGAAGGCAGGTATCTGGTGCCTGGAAAGGCTGGGCTGGTGGGCGCGAGGCCATTGCTGGACAAGAAGCCAGATGCCTGGCCTGGCCGTGATGGGAATGGGCAGCAGGATAGTTTGGCCCAGCTGGCCCCTGCCACCCCAACATCCCAGCTGAAGAGCGGTTCTTCTGTCCTCTGTGGCTCCCCTTTTCCCAAGGGAGAAGGCCTTCCTCTCTCACCCCCAGTGTCAAGATGTAAAATGTTGAGTGTTAAAATCGTGAAAAAAAGGGGAGGTATAGAAGAAGGAAGCCTGAAAATGTACACTGTGCTTTAAAAAAATGAGGCTTGAACTGCAGTTTACTGAAAGTGACTGCAAAACAACCAGCCAACTCCCCAGCTGAGCAAGGTCACTGTACAACGACATGTCTGACTGTGGAATGTGTTTACTAACGGAAGCCTTTATTTGGCTTTGGGGAGCAACTGTAAAGGGTCTCTCCTGTGCAAAGGTCGTCCCTCTCTGCCTTGCTTGGCCTACTGCCTCTTCTTGCTGTTCCTAGCTTCCAGAGAATTTCCTGGGAAGCCGTAGGTAGCCTCTTTTCCTCTGCCCCACTCACTCTGCCCTTCTCTGCCTTGGAGAGGAAACTGACCCAAGGGTGATGGAGATGGTGCAGGGGAAGCGCCAGAAGGCCTGGTTTCTTCAGCCATTGGAAGGCCTGGGATCTCTTCTCTCAGTCTAGCAGATCATATATACTTGTGTGCAAGGGTCCCCAGCACCCCCTGCCCCAGCCTGTGTTTGTGTGGTGATAGCTCTGCTTCTGTGCTGAACTCAGATGTCCGGAAGGAGGCCTCGCCATCTCTGCTGCTGGTGCTGAAGTGGGGTGGGGAGCTGACGCCCACTGGTCGAGTCCAGGCAGAAGAGCTGGGCCGGGCTTTTCGCTGCATGTACCCTGGGGGTCAAGGTGAGAGCCTGAGCAATGGACAGGGGTGGGGGGCTGGTTGTGGGAGGTGGAGGGGTTGAGGCTGGAGACCCCTTGGCCAGAGTGGGGAGAAACCTGAAGTGTCCTGTCCCCCCCCCCCCGGCAACACACTCGCATGCAAGCCTAGCTCGCCAAGACTCATGGGTACTTTGCTGTGCTCCAGAAAGGGAGGATGTAAACTTTGCAAGGTGGTAAAAGAGGAGGAGGAGGAGAAGCCTCTAGACCTGGAGGGTGGCCACTTGCTGCTCTACTCCCCCCCCCAAGAGCTGCTCAGCAGCAGAGTTTGGCCCTCCTTCCCTTCCTCCTGACCCCCTACACCCCCCTGGCTTCTCCAGCGTCCCAAGCATCCCCAGAGGGGAGGGCCAGCCGGCAGGGGCCCTCTGTTCTGGCTGCCCGTTGGCTGGCAGTGAGCGGCTCTCCTCTGCCCAGGGGACTACGCGGGCTTCCCTGGCTGTGGCCTGCTCCGCCTCCACAGCACCTACCGCCACGACCTGAAGATCTACGCCTCCGATGAGGGCCGGGTCCAGATGACAGCGGCGGCCTTTGCCAAGGTGCTTCTCTCTCTTTGTCCAGGGTCATCCTTCTGTGTGTGTGTGTTGGGGGGGGGAACAGGCGCATGCTAGAGGTGCCCGACCAGGGTGGCTGTGGTCTTGGGTGGCTTGGGAGGCCTTGGGTTTTGAGAGGGGGGCGGCTGGAGGACCGGGTCTTATGCCCAGCCTTTTTCCGCAGGGCCTCCTTGCTCTGGAGGGGGAGCTGACGCCCATCCTGGTGCAAATGGTGAAGAGCGCCAACATGAACGGCCTCCTGGATAGCGACAGGGACTCCCTCAGCACCTGCCAGCACCGGGTGAAGGCCCGCCTGCGGGAGATCCTGCAGAAGGATGCTGCCTTTGAGGAGGGGGACTACGAGAAGGCAAGGCGCCAGTACTCCCCCCCTCCCCTCGGGTGGAAGGGCTCCCCTCTCTGGCCCTGTGGGGCCAATGCCGTCTCCAGGTGGTGACTGGAGCCGGCTCAGCATCCATGTTGGTGGAAGACTTGAGTGAGGCCCCCAGGTCTGCAGGGCCTCTGCGGCTGAGAAGGGAGGCGCAGGCAGGCTTGGAGCGACCCGACCCGGCCATCCCTTCGGGCAGAATGGCCAACCCCGCCCACCGCAGGCCTTGTGCCTTTTGAGGATCACTGCTGGGATTTTACCTGGGGCCCAGAAACCTCCCACCAGCTGGAACAGCAGGAATAGCTAGCCCTGGGCAAGAGGGGAAAGCCCCAGAGCCTGGCGCCAGGGGTGGGGGGCAAGGTACAAGGCCTCTGTGCTGTGTTCCTGCCTGGCCGGGCTGTGTTGCGAGAGCCTGCCCTGAGCAGAGCCAGCCTGTGGTCAAATCCGGCCCTCCCTCCCGGCTCCTGCCTGGTGAGAGAGAAGGTGCTTCGGGGGAAGGGGTGACCTGGCAGCAGGAGCGCCGCCTCCTCTCTCCCTTCTGTGGGGGTTGTGTGTGTGTGTTTGTGTGTGTCTCCTCCTTCCCCCTGAGGGAGGCACAGCTAGAACCTCCTGTTTTGTTGGAGGGGAGGGGAGCTGGCCGGGGGGGCTGCGTTCTGTTCCAGCGGTTGGAGGAGCCATACTTCAGAAGCAAGTGTTCCACGAACCCCGAATGGTCTGGGGGTCCTGTGAGCAGGAAGGGGGGCGGATTGAGCCCTTGACTAGAGCAGCCTGGCAGAGCCCCTCGACTCTCAGCTCTTCACACCCGGAGACCTTTTGCAGGGCAGGTGGTGACGGTTGGCAGTTAGGAGACGGGTGGAAGCTTTTGAAGGGGGGAAAGCGGCAAGCCCTCACACATGCACCCTGTAAAAGTAGAATTACTTGCAGTCAGACACTCATTCCTCACCTCACCCTCACCTTGATTTGCTTCCAGCTGGCCCCGACAGGCAGCATCTCCCTCATCAAGTCCATGGGCATCATCCAGAATCCTGTGGAGATCTGTGACCGGGTCTTTGAGCTGATTGAGAGCCTCACTTCCCAAATCCAGAAGCGCCTGGAAGACCCAAAGTCTGCAGGTAGGGGTCACGGGGTCAGCCATTGGATGTGGGGTTCCTGCTGTTCCTACAGACCCTGGAGGGCGCCCCACCCCCACCCCGCCCCCCGGGTCAGACTTCTCAAAGAGTCCCATAGAGCCAGAGCTCCCCCCGCTAGTCCCTCCACGGCAAATCGCCCAGACCATCCCCGGGCAGTGCCCGCTCTCCGCTCCGGCCAGAGCTGCCTGGGGAGGCCCTCTGGTGCCACCCCCACCCCCCTTTACGGGAGATGTTTCACCCTGGGCACTGCCTCTGCAGACCTGCAGCTGTACCACAGCGAGACCCTGGAGCTAATGCTGCAGCGTTGGAGGAAGCTGGAGAAGGACTTCCGCCTGAAGAACCGGCGCTACGACATCAGCAAGATCCCCGACATCTATGACTGTGTCAAGTACGATGTGCAGCACAACCCGTCCCTGCAGCTGCAGGGCACCTCTGAGCTCTTCCGCCTCTCCAAGGCCCTGGCGGACGTCATCATCCCACAGGTGTGTCCAGAGCGGGGTAACGGAGGTGGCAGTGGCAGCCCCCTCACAGGCCCCTGCCTGGAGTGGTGGCAGGCCGTGGTCTTGGCGAGAGGCCTTCCCAGGCAAGCATTCCAGCGTGCTCCTCCTCTTCCTCCTCCTCCTCCTCCTCCTCCTCCTCCTCCCTGCTTGCAGGAGTACGGCATCAGCAAGCCGGAGAAGCTGGAGATTGCCGTCGGCTTCTGCCTGCCTCTTGTGCGCAAGATCCAGCTGGACCTGCAGAGGACCCACGAGGACGAAGCGGTCAACAAGCTGCACCCCCTGTAAGAACGGCCGCAGGAGGGTGGCGGGTGGGGGGGCGCGTCGTCGACAAAGCTTTTCCCTTCCTTTTGGTCCATCCCCGCCACCCCACTTGGATCGATGCCCCCCCCTGCATGTGCGGAGGGGGAGGGCAGCCGTGGGGCACTTCTCCCTCCCAAGGCAGAAGGGGGTTTGGCGGCCCTGTGGCTCGGTCTACCTGCCAGCGTTGCTTTTCAGGGGCTGAGCTGGGCTCCCTCTCCAGCCCCTGCCACCTCCGTCGCCCAGGCTTCCCCCCACCTGGCCCGGCCCGGCCCTTTCTACCTCAAGGCCTGCTCGCTCCTGGAGGCTCCCTCTGCCCCTCCACCCGCTGGGGTTCACGGCCCGCCCTGGACGGCAGCCACAGCCGGCTTCCCAGAGCGAGGCGGCCTTTTTCTCGGCTTCTGTGGTGAGAGGACTCCCTTTCCGGCCCCTGTGGCTCGTGGGCTGCCCCTGCCGGCTTGTGCCGAAGGGACCCTGGGTGCCCCTTGTGGGCCAGTCCTGGCTC